AGCCTAGTAATTGCATATCGCATGCGTTGCATTAGTCATATTGCAAAGTTAGGATCATGCATTATTCTAACTCTTTCATCTTTTTGGCTTGGAGTACTAGGTGAGCTTTTATTTGCTTTAGCATAATTGCATGAGTATGAGTGTTGCCATGTCAAAGAATGTTCACCATGAGGCTAAGTGCTTAAGTGATAAACGATTTGAATGCCTGCGGATGAAGGCTAGTTGCTTGAATTGGGATAGTTTGATTTAATGTACATTTGAGCGCACTTTTTCAAGTGGCACATTCACAAAATCTTTTCAAAAAATAAACATGAAATCAAATGTTCCAATTTTTACAAATTAGTCTATACTTGTGTGTGCATCACATAGTAAGTTAGCCTAATAAAATCAGAACAAGAACATATAATGTAAATAAGACTCACATCATGATTAGTAGAGGCCAATCTTTAATCGGGCGAGTGGGGGTGCTCAATTCATGACCTTTCCCTCTCGTACCTAAGTTCCTAAGCCGAGACAATCTTGGTGATGACAGACACGTGGCCTTTGGCATGAGTCATGGATTTCCTAAATTTTGCAAAAATATTTAGGTAGTAACTCTATATCTAGCAAAGCAGTTCATTTTGGGCATTTTGATTCAAGATCTATTTTCCAAAAGATTTTTTGAATTTGGACTCTTTGGTATTTATCTATTTCACATTGCACTTGTGAGATCAGATTTAGAACCGTAGGAGTCCGATACTGTAAGGTTGGTCATCTTTCGAAAGGAGCGTGAAAAGTCGAGCTACACAATCCCGTTGGACAACACTCCATTAAGTTGTATTTTTATTTTCTTTATTCTATCTACTCCTACATAAATAAAAAGCTGCGCAGTAGCCACAAAATGGAGTTCGATAGAATATAGAAGAAGGGTATACAAACAAAAACCAATCCCAATGAGAGGGCATAAGAAATTGTGAGTTACGAGAATTTAGATGCGAATTCAACCCAGGTTGTGCCTGTGTAAAGGTGTTTGTGTTGACATTTCGTATTTTGACTTGACCATTCCTTGTTTGCCACTTCATTGACTAAGTCTAGAGCAGCACCCAGGCAGGGTTAAAGCGCAGCACCCCCAGAGCTAAGAAGTCAAAGGTGATACCGCCTTTAGTCATACTACTCGAGCGGTAGTCGTGACTCTATTTAGTATAAAGTGCGTTGTTTGCTCATTTTAGGGTGGAACCCATCAAATTCTTAAAGAGGAAGAGAAAACAAAGTGTTCTATATTGAAGGGTGTTTATGAATTATTTTCCTTGATGATTTGTGGGTGATCGATTGATCAACGAGCTTTACATTAACTATCATTAAGGGTTGTTTTGTTCTTTTATTCATAAAAAGAGAGAGAGGTGTTCATCGGTGGATCCTGGGAAACTTAGGTCTGAAGGTTTGGTGATTTCTGGAGTGTCTCATCGTCGTGGATTCGACATCGGCATTATGGATTTAACGTTTGACAAAGCAATTACGAGGTGAAGACGGTGGTGGAAGAGGCACATCAAGTTTGGTTCAACCCAGGCATGGATTCGCTAGGTAATTAAGGTTTCTCATGGGTAATTCCTGTTTATCTTCTTAGTAGATTGTTTTGTGGCTTTGGCTTGTGGTTTTTTTGTTATAATTGGAGGTGCTCTAATTGTGATTTTTTCCACGTTAAATCGTTGTGTCGATTTGTTGTTGATTATTTTATTGAGATTGTTATTCATTGTTTAAAATTAAATCATAATCCCAAATCAATATCTGGGGAGGAGGGGGATTAGAATTTTCAAGCCTAAAACTATATAAAAATACCAAACTACTCAAGCTTGGCTCATAATAGCTCGTTAAAGATCAGCTCGAAAGTTTAACGAACCAAGCTTGAACAGATTTTGAAACTCGTTAAAGTTATCAAACTAAGCTTAAATAGTTAACTGTTTGGTTCGGTTATCACCCTTACCCAAGTGGCTGTGTTATTTCCCAGGCCTCCTGTAAGATGTTTTTGGGGGTACCTAAGCACGCCCGACAGTTCAGATTTTTGATGTCTTGATCTGTTTTTACTAGTACAATGTGAAACGAAAAATAAGAGTCCAGATCTGGCAACTTTATAGAAACAAAAATCCATTTACTACAAAATATGCCAAAAATGGACTATATCATCAGATTTCGGAGTCGCAACCTAATCTTTTGGGAAAAGTCACTACTAAAAACGGGACTTTTTGCGACTGTCTCAAATGTCGCAAAAGGTCCACATGTCGTTGCAAAATACTTTTTGCGACGGAGTAACGACGAGAAATGGGGAGTGGCAGAAGGGGGCATGACAAAAGGTATTTGTGATGGTTACAAACCATCGCTTTCTTGTAGTGACAGTAAATCAATCATTTTTGCGACGGTCTCAATCCATTTTTATTTTTATTTTTTGCAGTTGCTGTATTAAATTATTAAAATTTGACTCTATTTACATTTTTTTTTATAGAAAATCATTAATACCATCAAAACAAATAATTTATATAATATAAGAGAGATGTCGCTATAGTAATCTTTACAATTTATGAGTGAAAATAAAAACAAAATAAATAAAAAAGTAAAATTTTGTATTATTTGTATATATAATATATATTCAATATGATTTAATAATCTAAATTATTTTAATATCATATAATGGCTAATAATTTATATGCATATTTAATATTTTTTGTTAGGGCAATCCCACATCGTCTGGGAGGGACACTTTCAACCAACTTATAAGCGTACTGGCCCCCTCCACCTTGTAAGAGGCCTTTTAAAGCCGTGAGGCCAACAGGCGTCGTTTCGCCACCTCGCCAGAGCGGACAATATCTTACTGGGGCGCAAGAAGTCAGTCACGTCAGTTTGGTGGCCCATGCAGGTCGTCCAACAAACTCCCCCGCTGTCCGCGGCCCAGTCCGCTGGGGGGTTATGTTAGGGCAATCCCACATCGCCTGGGAGGGACACTTGCAACCAACTTATAAGCATACTGGCCCCTTCTACCTTGTAAGAGGCCTTTTAAAGCCGTAAGGCCGACGGGCGTCGTTTTGCCACCTCGCCAGAGTGGACAATATCTTACCGGGACACGAGAAGCCAGTCACGTCAGTTATGTTCAAGCCTTTGAATCTTTATCCTTGAATGATCAAATCTTGAATGAATAAAAAGCCCTCACAAAACACTTTTACAGAACCATATGGGAAAACTGAAAGGGACAGAGTTTCAAGCCTATTCTACTCACAAAACAACATCGTGTTTGATGGCTATCACAGGCATATATATAGATAGGCTTGGACCCATATCCAAGTGTAACTCCTTATAACTTCCCACCATTAGGGAAATTGTAAAGTCCCATGAAATCACCATATGGGATAGTGAATAGACATTAGTTACCCATTAGTCATAAAACAAATTAATTAGTCATTAAACCAATTAAATATATATAATATAAATAAATAAATAAAATAAACATGTGGCACATGGGCCACTTTATTGACGTGACTGGCTTCTCGCGCTCCGCTCTGGCGAGGTTGAGAAACGACGTCCGTCGGCAACACGGCTTTAAAAGGCCACTTACAAGGTGAAGGGGGCCAGTACGCTTATAAGTTGGTTGCAAGTGTCCCTCCCAGGCGATGTGGGATTGCCCCAACATAACCCTCCAGCAGGCTGGGCCACGAACAACGGGAGAGTTTGTCAAATGACCTGCATGGGCCACCAAACTGACGTGACGGGCTTCTCGCACCCCGGTAAGATATTGTCCACTCTGGCGAGGTGGCAAAACGACGCCCGTCGGCCTCACGACTTTAAAAGGCCTCTTATAAGGTGGAGGAGGCCAGTACGCTTATAAGTTAGTTGCAAGTGTCCCTCCCAAGCGATGTGGAATTGCCCCAACATACTCAGTCAACCTTCTCACTCAGTCACCCCTCGCGGTCGGCCCCCCTCTCAGTCGACCTTCTCGCTCGGTCACCCCCCGCGATTGACCCTCATCTCATTCGACCTTCTCACTCGGTCACCCTTCGTAATCGGTCCTCCTCGCAGTCAATCTTCTTGCTTGGCCCCCCTTCGCGGCTGGTCCGCTTCCCCAACAGTCTTCTCTCCGACGACCTCCCACAACCCCTTTTTTCTTCCTTATTCCCTTCGTTGTTTTGAAACTGCACTTGGAAATGGAGGACTACTAACATGGGTGGGCCCATAAAGGACATGACCCACCACTTAAGGCCCAGTCCATGATTCTCAATATTCTTGAAACCCAACGTCACACCAAGTATCAATAACATCTACACACTTGGCAAGTAAAGAGCCAGCCACATCAGCAGACAAAGATCCTGCAAAGTTATTACGCCACACATTAGCCATTAATGAGGTTCCTTGTAGCATTTATTACGATAACCCCTCCACTTCGGAACAGAACGACCTCACCATGAACAAGGCAAGCTAGAACATAGACTTTCGGCCAACGTGACAGGTCGGAAGGGACAAAGAAATTATTAGTATAGGATATAAGTAGGTTTCGAAGACAAGGCAAAGGTTAAGCTTTTCTATCACTAATCTATCTCTACATTTCATCTCTCTCTCTCTTTCTAACTTGCTCGTCGGAGGGTTCGATGGGGGACTCCCCATTCCCCGTTGAACTCTTGTGCAAGTCTCTCCGTGGGCCTGGTATCTCGGGCACCAGTTTGGGAAGCGTGGATCAAACCGACCCATTCCCTCTGAAACTCGCTGAATCATCATTTTTATATATTTATATATGTATAATTCGGGTATTGGATTACTCGGATTGTTTGACATCTTTACTTAAACCCGTCAAAATTTAATTCAGACTTTTAAATTTTTGTCCAAATTTATACTGAATTTAAAAATATCTTATCTAAACCCTAAAAAAAATTCAAATTGAGTTCGAATTGGTTGGATTAAACCCCCAAATTGCACCGCTAGTGCCACCGTTCAAACCGCTTAAGAGGTGGTCTGGTAACGAAAGGGCTCCCAATCTTATCTTCAAGTCTGCTCCAACCCACATTACATTATTAATCAGAAGGCTCGTTTTCCACCACAACCACCACCACCACCACCAGCACCTTGCATTCAATTCGCTTTCACTGTCTCTACTACACAAAACAATACCCACATTAAATCTCTTCGTAATACTCTACACAATGACACCCACATAATCTCCTTCATTGTTCACTTCTCTCTTTCTCTCTCTCTCTCTAGATATATTTATATATATAGTATCGTTAGATATGGGCTCGGAGGCAATCTTCTCCTTGTCTCCGCGGATTTTCTGGTGGATTTGGTGTTGTGAATCGAAAGGCCGGTGACCCTTATTTCCTTCTCTTCTGAAGAAAATTTCCAAATGGGTTGAGAGACTGAGTAATTTAAAGAAGTTTTGTTGAAGAAGACACAAATCTGTTGAGGGGTTTCAGAGATTTTGAATTGATTGTTCATAAATATTGTGTATTATGAAGGGTTTTATGTTCTGGGTTTTGTTCTTGTTGACTGGGACGGCTTTGATGTTTCTTTGTCTCTCCAAAGAAAGAAGCACCTGTTAACATAAATTTCAGAACATAAACCTTACACTTTGGATCATTTACCATGTGTATTATCAAGAAATCAAGACAAAATGACATACCTGAATCCATTGATGAACGGTTAAACGGAAGCGTCTGATTGTCAATAAAACCTTAATATTGACTTTGTTAGAGCCCACTTTCAAATTGTTTTATGAATTTCCAAAAATTGTCACACAAAAATGAAAACGACATAAGAATCATGGGTATTTTTTAACCATGTCCTTGAAATTGAGAAGGCGAAAAACCTGTGAATAGCTTCCCAACAAAGTAACAGTAGGATCAGCAGAAACTAAAGCTCGCTCGCATAGCTTAATAGAGCTATGTAGTTCCTTCAAATGACCATACTTGGGTTGCCTAATCAAGCCTATCCATTTCGCACGATAAAATAATTTAGCTCTTTTTTTTTTGAAAATCTTTCAAAACAGAAAAAAAAAAAAAAAAAAAGTTTAAATTCAACCAAACATGGTCTTAATCTTTGGCATTGTGGAAGACTATGGCATTGGTTGATACAATAATTGCATTCTGCAATTCCTACCAATTAAACACATTGTCAAACATATTCATTGATGATTATTATGATAAGAAATCTTTGAAGACCTTCGAGAGAAGATTTAAAATTTAAAAAAAAAATGTCAAAAAACTCAATCAGATCGGATCAACAAAATTACATTGCTAATCAATTGAAGACAGAGAACAACATGCATGACAAATATCAATTGAAGAGAGAGAGAACATACAAAGAAACAAGCTGTTGATCAGGAGTTTCAATTAACTGATCCATCTCATATGCTGGCAGAGCTGTCAATGGTGTGTAAGCTAGCGTTCCACATCTCTGTAAAGTATTAGGTTTTGGATTGTTCTAATGGCTATCCATCACTAATAAGTGTGAATTCCTATTTTGGTCTTTTCTTTCTACAACATAACCAGTTAAGATTGCCAGTGTTTGGATGATTGTGAGTAGTCCCAATAAGCAATGAAATATGGATGTGGGAATTGATATAATGTTGACACAATGACAAGGTTTAACTGATTGGAAAGCTGATTACAATTTTGATTCTCATCCCACATGAGGCTAAACATGGTACTATACATGAAGTTAACTTCTGAAATTTCATGTCATGAAAAAAGAACCTTAACTTCCCATTTTGAGCATGCAACCCATATTGGGATTTGGGCAGATAGTCTCATAGCAGTATTTATTACTTGAAATCCAAAGCCATTAGTTGGAATATGCCATGTCTAATATTAGGTTAAGTTTGGTAATCTTTTTAAGTTCTTTATACTAATATTGCATTTGTCCATGTCTTTGGAATCTTAAACAGATTATTGCAGCAGGTCCTTTTACCACAACTGACAACTTGTTCTTTGAACCTCTAACTGAGCTGCTAGCATATGCACAAAGAAAGCAGTGTGCAGGAAGAGAGATGAGAACTAAATGCAAGAGCAAATCATCAGATATGTCGAGCTGCAGTGCCTTAAGTTTTGAAGCAAGATGAGACATTTCCATGATGTACTCGCGAACATTACCCTTGCCTTTATACTTTATTGAAATCAAGCCCGAAAAACTTCTGGAATCCCACGCTTCATGATCATAAGACTTAGCCTGTTAGAATGATCCCACTTTTCAAAGTACACAGTTTCCTCAAGAGTACTTTGTGCAGTGAGAGCATTCGGTTTTGGCATCCTTAATGCCAAGTCCATGTCCATGCAGCCGAGAACAAATTAATAAATTAATTTAATGACAACATCTCAAGATACCTAGCACAACATTAATACCAAGCCTTTGGGTAGTGATATTAACTGTAAGTGGTATTCTTGTTGTAATGATCAAACATTGACAATAAGTTATGTCAAATAACAAATCTATCTTTTGATGAATTTATTATTCACATTAGGTTTTCTTGACAATTGGCACATGTTTATCACCACAAAATGTGTGTGTAATTCTGCCAAGTCTTAATCATGTCTTTGGACCGATAAATACCCGCATGAGATACACAGACATGAACTTCAAAACATTCCATATAAAACAATCTAGACAAGAGAGATCACTTTTGTGACATCTTGTTTGAATTGACTTCTATTGAGAATGTTAGAAAATTAAATTTCTGTAGACGTTGTATGAAATTACAATAAATTTAAAGATTTCTAAATTTGTGACCCTACAATTCCAGAAAACAGATTGCCATTTTCACAAAACAAAACAGAAAAAAAAAAACAGAATTTACATCCATAAGAAAATTCAGAATCTGATTCCAGGAAACTAAATAGAATGAATAAAGCATATCAATTCTGATAAGACACATGATATGCTGGCTCTGATGCCAATTGTTAACATAAATTTCAGAACATAAACCTTACACTTTGGATCATTTACCATGTGTATTATCAAGAAATCAAGACAAAATGACATACCTGAATCCATTGATGAACGGTTAAACGGAAGCGTGATTATCAATGAACTCTTTGTTATTGATTATGTTATTGCCTTCTAATCCTTTCCCCTTTAGTGCCTTATATTTTTCCTTGAGAGGATTTAGAAAAAAAATGGCAGTGTTCTTATTTTCCACTTGGGAAGGAATAGGGACCATAACCTTTTAAAGGCTGTAATTGGTTTTCAAAACTGAAAGGTTGTGGAAGTTCAAAAGGAATGAAAACCAACTTTAACCATTATTGGTTTTAATTTCTATTTATTGGTTTTCAAAACTGAAAGGTTGTGGAAGTTCAAAAGGAATGAAAACCAACTTTAACCAATATATTTTAATTCCTATTTATGCCCCTCATAGAAATAGAAATTATACAACTAGTATCTACACATTAGGTCCATAACACATATACCCTTAAGCCTATTAACTAAATTGAATCACTTAAATTGTAGGCTTCTTATAAACGATAACACCACATTTAATTATGTGGTCCCATTGAGACATTATCTAACAACTCCTCTGTTCCTGGTAAACTTCTATGTTCTTTTAAACATTTGGAAAAATATATTGTATTTATTGTGTTTATGTTTGAAAATTTATATGACAAAAGTTCACACCAGAGATTTAGAAATTAGACAAATTATGGTAGTTATTATGTTTGAATCAGTATTTTGACAGTTAAATTAAGGGCAGTTACATAAAGACATTTTTGGAAAGAGAAAAATTGAGACTAGTGATAATACCAAGTAGGCTATGCACTTTATATAATAGGTATAAAAAAATGTTATGGTGTGCACCCCACCCTAAGTGCATACCATATGCATCTTGCCATAAAATGGGTAATTTTACCATAAAATTTTGTAATATCAACCATAAAATGTGTAATCTTGCCATAAATTGGTGTAACAAAATTTTGTGGTCGATATTGCAAAAGTTTGTGGTTTGGTTAACATTTTTTTGTTATGCTAGGTTACGCATTTTGTGGTTAATATTATGAAATTTTGTGGTGCTGGTACACACTATATGAGAACCCAACTTAGAAAGTGTAGATATCAAAACGTTACATTTCACAGAGGTTAATGTGATTCTTTATTAATATGGTTGTTTGATTGTGGTAGTTTGTGGACCACAACTTGGCAAGCTAAGGATCCTTTGTTTTCAAATACATTGTGAGTCAAAGGATCATGTAAGAATTTGGTGACATGAAAATGTCAAATCCTATTCATGGAGATACGAAAATCTCAAAACACGATCTTCTGACTACTTCTATGAATCACAAATACTCCAAAAAAGATACTTGTATCGGATACATATAGGCATCCGACGTGATACATGTTGGATAAGTATCCGTTTATTTATTTTAACTTCGGATATGGGAGGGATAGAGGAGGGATATGGGTGGATATGCCAAATAAGTATCCAATTTAATTTTACTCCCAATTTTTTTCTTTTTATTTTTTATTTTTTCAAATGTCAATGCTCTCTCCCTTTTTCTGCCTCTCTCCCCCTCTGTTTCTATCTCTTTTCATATTTTATAGGGCTTGCATTATCATTGATTTTATTTCATGTGATAGACCAATTTCTACTTTGTTAGCCCTGCTAAAAGGGCTACTCATGTTAATTTGAAAAAAAAAAGAAAGAAAGAAAGAAATTATTCACATTGTTTCTATTTTTAAATTTGCTTTTATTGTTATTTTATTTTGTTTTTAAATTTTGGACATTATGACTTAGGATTGTTGTTATCAATTCATCACTTAATTTTGTTATCTTTATTGTTGCTCTTTAAATTTTCTTGAATATTTAATCGAATCTTCTATTATTGTTAGTTGATACTTCTTTGTTAGTATTCCTAGTTGCTAATAATTTTTTATGAACATAAAATTCTCTTTTGGATATTAAGAATTTTAGTACTAGATATTTTATGAATGTACCATAACTAAAAATTATAAAAAAAATAATTTTATTTTACAAACGTATCTTCGCCATATCCATATCCTACTATTTTAGGTTTTATCATATCGTCACATCTGTATCCTGTATCTGTGCTTCCTAACTATGAGTGCATTGGGACAGAGAATCCCTTGCCATTCGGTAAGTTATATCTGGCCATGAAGTTTTCTTTACTTTCTTTTATCTAATGAACTTACTAAACCTCTGAACTTAGGCTAATAGGCTTACATTTCAATTTATCAGCAAGGCCATTTCCTTTTTTTCAAATATTAAGGGAAATTATTATGTATTCATGTATGATATAAACTTAGAACTGAGAATTGTTTTTGTTATGTAGCTGTAGTGTGTGTGCATATAAAAGTAGATGAACTGAGTGCTTATGATTCTAATGTGAATAGTTGGCATTACTGTATCCTAATTTGTAAATTGTACCAAGACAAGACTCTTTAATATCACCTTACTTAACTTGCATTACATTCTTTACATGCATGTATTGGTGATGAGAGTATTACCTGTTTAATAATGATTGGTCGACTCCTATTCAACTCAAATATTTGCTTATGTGAGAAGCGATCGAGTGAGTGCAATCTCATGTTAATTTTTTGTAGCAAAACAATTGCCTCATAAAGAAAGAGTAGAGCTCTTCTAGTAACTGAGAGTGACCACATGTTGGAATTAGTTGAATAGAAATCCTAGATTGAGTGTAGATTGATTATGATTTCTCAAATTAGATGGAGCAATCCCTTTGTCAAACTTAATAACCGAAGGTAGCACTCCCAAATTTGTATAGATATTGGCTTATTAGTTGTGAACATATGATTGGGTGAAGGATCAAAGCCACATACATGAAATCCATTTCACGGTGAGAAGCTTAGTCAAAACAAGAATACCTCTGTTGGAGATTTCTCAAAATTACTGACATAATTAATTATCTGTGGCGTTTTATAAGCACTGATTATCTATAATAATCCATTTTTTCTCTTTGCATTTCTCACTTCTATATGTGGAGTGACCAAAGAAATTATGTAGTGGCTTGTTTAATATAATGTCACCTTAACTTATCAAAAAAATGTTGGTGATACTACAACAGATGTTTTGATTTTTGATGGTCAAGCTAATTTATAAATAAATTGCTATTGTTAGCTAGCCCAAATGCAGTGTTGTGGTTTCTCTTTAGTAAATATACCTTCGTTTATTTTTCTTTTTTAATTAGAATGATGATAGTGTTGAAGTGCTAATGCTATTGTTTAGTGTCAAATACAGAGTTAATGGTCCAGTGATGAAGTCATAGATTAGGCCATTTTAACACTCTAATAATTGCTTAGATGATTCATTTAGTTTAAATGATGACATGGTTTCTTTAAATCAACCAGCGATGGCTTTAAATAGACATGGGGATAATATGACAGTGAAGACAAGAGGCAGGAAGCTTAAGGTACATGACGCTGAGAGGCCACAATTCAGACTGTTTCTTTCTTCTGTTTATGCTTTAGATATAATCTTTATTTTCTTTCCAATTTGCAGGAGAATTGTCATGCTTCAATCACTGACAAGAGTAATTCAGGGAGTATAAAACTAGAAGATTATAACCCTATCGATCTGGGTCCAAGTTCAAAGGCTTCCGTAAGACCTGGACCTATCCAATATGGCACTCCGCTCATGCCTTATATCCCAAAGCCTTCACCTCCCGACCACCCAAAGCAGGAGGGATTTCCTTAGCCTGCTTTAAAACCATTTTTCTCTGTAATAACTTGAAATGTGAAAAATGTAATAACTTGTTAGTTTAGCACGGTGTTTCAACCATGTGTATTGTAACATATTATACTGCTAACTTATGTACCTACCACTTGTGTTATGTACTTTATTTTGGTTTGAAAGAGTTTGTTGTTATTATATGTCAATGTTTGTTGCTTTAGGAACATTACAAACATTAGGTAGCATTAGGTTATCATTATCATCTCAAGACGTCATCATCTGTTTATATTTAATCGGAAAAAAAAAATGCCCCCCAAAAAAAGTAAGTGAACATTAGGAACACCCTTTGTGAGTTTTTTGTAACCGGTTTTTGTGCACGTAGAAGTCTTCTATCTGTTTTAGGCCCACCCTTGGCATTGCTTCAATGATTTATTATGTATCTTTGATGAGTATCTTTGATGAGTATCTTCAATGTGAGTTTTTTATTATGTATCAGTAACATTTGAGCCTCTGAATGTTTTTTACAGGCTCTTTCATTCCTAGTATGACAAACTGATATCAATGATAGATCTAATTTTGAGATTTGACCCAATAAATTGTTTAACAGTTTATGGTTTCTATACATAGTGTCATTTCCCTCAAACATTTTGTGTTATTCCCGTGCCAAATTTATTGAAGCCTGAAAAATTTCAGAAATTTACATATCCTCTTCTCATCTTAGTGCCATTGCATCTTCAATTATAAGTACATCTATCATGAAGACTACAATTCTATATACAAGAGAAAACATTCCTTTCTTGAGCATATAATCTTGATGAAGCAGCTGACTTATATTTGTTATGAGAATCTATTGATACCCTCATATTATGCATATTAATGCTGTGTTTGGTTGGAGGATTTGGAGAGGGATTTGGAAAGGAAAGGGAAAAGAGAAAAGGTGTGTGAAACTATGTGAAATTTAGGCATAGTTTATTCTCATGTCACCTACCTTTTCCATTTCCCTTTCCAAATCCCTACTCAAATCCTCCAATCAAATACAGCATAACAGATCATGGCGATTAGTGATAACAGTAGAATACATTTGTATATTTTCTGTCTGTTAGTGATGGAACATCTTGATCGCCACACTAACAGGTATTAATCGCCATCGACCCCATTAGTGTTGTCCACCAAAACAAGTGCCACCAAAAATTACTGAATTGTGGAGTTACTTGAGAGGTCCTTGGTGTTTGTAAGTAATGCTTCATGGGTCTCATCCTAATTAGTGTGTACTTTTCTGGCTGATTAGTGGCCTGACACTGAGGTCATGAGGTGTATTATTTTGAGTTTTTCTAGTCATAATTTAGGATACTGGCAACAATTGGAGTTATTGAGCCCCAGCCAACAATCGGACTGAGCCAACCTATCCAGTTTCAAAAAATCAAACCCAAGCCCAAGCCCAAGCCCAGACTCAGGGGCAATTGGGCTTTGGGCTGGAGGGCCAGGCTTGACATTTTTTTTTCTTTTTCACCAAAATAACTTTAGACATTGGACAGGTCGGGCAGCGGGCAGCAGGCCAGAAAAAGCATGGCCTAAGCTTTAGCTCAGGGGTACAAGTTGGGCCGAGCCTCAAGCAGGGTTTAGACCGATTGGCCATTTTTGCACCTCTTACATAAATCATTGGAGGGCAAATAGCGTTTAAACATGGGAAAATTTTTATGCCCTTTCCCAAAAGCACTGTCCCCATGACAGGAATATCAAAATATACAAATCTTAAAAAAAAATAATAATAATAATAATAAAATATGGTGTAATTGAATGTACAATATGAAATAAGAGGCATTTACCCACAAGTCTCATGCTAGAGAACTAGTGGAGCATAAGTCCTAGCTAATAGGTTTTAACTTATTAAGTACCATTAAATTTTATATTTCAGAAATATTCTACTGTTTAAAGTGGTCCAGTCCATTATCATCTTTCTCAATCTTTGCTTTCTCTCAATCGTGACATTTGCTTCCTCCAGTCCACCTCCAACTAGCCTCATTGACATGGCCTCCACACTCACCAATCTGTCTGGCTCAGCCTCAGCCTCAGCCTCATCCGCCTTCGCCTCCGTCTCATTCAACATTGTATTCACCTCCCATACAACATTAAAGTTGCTATTCACACAATTAAACTGCAAAGCCTGACCAATAAGAGCTTTCTAAAGGTGCCAATGGCCTTGATAAGGTTATCCTCCTTCAGTTTTGCCATAGCTCTACTGAAGTATATCCACGCAGTGGTCTTTTTTTTTTTATTCCAAACAATTTCTTTAGTGAGGTTTTTATTAATTTAACCATTAATCTCTCTAAAGGAGATTTGAAAATCAGGCCTCACAGTTTTGAGTTCTCATTTAAAGGTAACATTATGACCTTTGTAACCTGAAAGAGATTTGATATTGACAACATTGAATGTAGCATTTATATATGAATGATCGCCATTCAACGGCTGATATTGAAATTGATTGACCAACCAAAAATTGGTACATTTTTTTGGAAAAGTTTCACAGTTCTGTGAAACTGAGAAATATCTCTGTTTTGAAATTAAAAAAAAAAAATTACAAAATTTTTATTTTCTAATTATTCGTGTAACAAACAATGAAACTAAAAGAAATTTAATGTCTCTCCTACAAACACACATACACACTAACATAATTTTGTAAAAACTTAAAAGGTTAAGTTTTTTTGAAATTGAGAAATTTCTCAATTTTTCAAAGAAAGAATTATGCCAAAAAAGATTAGGTTTTACTTTTTAGAATTTCATATTTAAAATAATATTATTTGATAGATCTCGACTAATAGATTTCCAAAATATAAACTTTGTTTAAAATGGATATAAAAATAAAAGTTATGACATTTTAAAAATTAAGACATTAAAAACAAATGAAATGAAAAAAATTAACACATGCCAGCTATGCTAATGCGTGCGTTAACCATTATGGGCATGTTAGGCCATTATGGGAGGCGTCAGGTCATCCATGTTATACCTTTTACTCTTATGATTGGTGAAAGGTTGTGGAATATGGGCCGTATTATTGGGTGTTTAGAGAATACTATAAAACATACATATTAGTGATTCATGGAAGGACAGTGTCACTTGGTACTCTATTGGTATACAAAATTTTTTCTCTTTAAAAGGTTAATATGACCTAACGTCAAAAGAACTTAAAAGTAAGACTTAAAAATTAAATGTATTTATCCTCAAACAAGCTTAGCTAATAGGACTTTTAAGCAATTAATCCATGAAATAAAGATGGGTAAAATTGGATACAAAAGATGCTTCACCCTCTCGTCCCTATATCCACGCAATCGATCCCATCCCCCAGTCATTGGCATCATTGTCACCAGATTAAGATCTAGTTACACCTCCTAAACTTCACAAGCCGATGGGAGCCAAACCATATTACATGAATCCCCAAGATCCCCCTTTACATTAATCTATGAGATTACTTGGATGTTTTACTATCTTTCATGTAGAGCAGCATTGGAGTAGGGTTATATTGAGTACATCTCAGCCTTGAATGCTGTAGGGTTAGTAGAAGAAAATGAGAAGACAACAATAATCATGCCATTACCCCCCCGTAGGAACCACCCACTCAATAGTGATGCTTTTCTTTTCCTTTCTTTTCTATCCATCTACCCTAGATCTAGTTATGTTTCTTTTTTTGTCTTCTGTATTGCTGTTAAAAAGGCCATCTATTGGTTGGTGACCATATTCACAACTAAAAACTAAAGCCTGTTCAATGATAAAAAAAATGGCACCTAATTGATTGTCTTCATTCAACTTTGAAAACATTTCCTTCTCCTTCAAGTTAATGTCAGTAGTACTACTGCCTACTTTTGTTCTTTTCTTACTACATATGTGTAATACCAATTCTTCTGTTCATTGAACACTTTTGATAGTCAGAGATACCTATCAATACCAACTACATTTCTTCTAGCTTTTTTCTCTTTCCTAATCTTTCGATAAAGAAAAAAAAAAAAAAACATGAGTCATTTTTTACAAATTTCAAATTACTTTTACTTATTTCGATAATCTTAGCAATCTTTTCATTTGTTTATAGAACATTTTTTATTCCAATTTCGATGCTAAACAATGCTTTAGAATGCTATATCATTTATGTTCAACAAACAGGAAGTGTTTTTTTTTTTTTTTTTTTTTCCAAACAATTGAACCATTTTCTAGTCCCCCCCATCACATTCCCCTTTTTTCTGGATTTTATGGTGGAAAGGTGAATCATAAGCATAAAAATAGGAAAATGTTATTCTTGCTTCATTTTTGATAAACACTTTCCAAATTTATTTTCATTGTGTGCACTGAGAATCATGTTATTTGTACTTAGGCCTCGTTTGGGAACAGACTAATTTAGTAACTTTTGGCTATTTTACGAAAAGATGTGCAAAAAGTAGAGAAAAAAGAGAATCTTTGACTTTTTAGTATGGATTGTTGGTTTTTTATCTAATTTAGTAACATTTTGACTTTTTGGCTAAAAATGAGGATTCCCAAACGAGGCCTTAAAAACAAATCATGGAGTGTGTTTAAGAGCATCTCTAATCAAAGTATTAAAATTGTGTAACTTGTAAAAAATAATAAAAGTGGGCTCAATTTTGTGTTAAAGTTTGTTAGTTTATTGTAACATAGATATTAAATTGTGTATTAACAAAAAAAAAGTACAGCTCATCACTTTAATATATCTTATAATAATAAAACTAAAAAAATAATTAATCATGTGTCAACCTACCCTACCATCCCATCCCATCCCATCCTCCTTTATATCTCTTTCTTCTTCTTTTTAATTGGAACTAAAAGAAAACTATGGGAGGTCATGATTTCCTTATTTTTGTAAAAAATATAATTTCTCATGACATTTTTAAAATATGTATTTTATTTTATACATAAAATTGTCCCCAATATAAAAAATACATATCTTATTCTTATCCCATCTTGCATTCTCTTTTTATTTTATATCAAAAAAACTTTTTCATCTTATTAAAAATTACTTCTATGGTATTTGAATTTTTTTATGTGTATAGATATAATTTATATATCATATTGTACATACATGTGTACTTATGTATATAGTGAAAATTTTTATTTGTCTTTTGACCCCTCTAATAATGAAATCTTGGTTCCATCTCTGGTTCTAACCCTCTTTTCCCCTTCTCATTCCCCTTCTCCTTCT